TGATGGAGTCCCTCCCATTGTGCTGAAGACATGTGCTCCGGAGTTGGCACCGGTTTTAACGTGTCTTTTCCGGTACTCCAACTCCCTAGGCACAGTCCCGAATTCATGAAAGACAGCTTTGGTCCACCCAGTCCCTAAAAAAGGCGACCGCTCAGACCCGTCCAACTACAGCCCTACCGCCATCACCTCCTTGTCCTCCAAAATAATGGCAAATATTATAAACTACCAGCTCATGAGGTACCTTGAGCATCACCAGCTCATTAGTGACCGCCAATACGATTTTCGTCGGGGTCGATCAGCTGGTGATCTTCTGGTCTACCTGACTCATAGATGGGTGGAGGCAATAGAATCCAAGGATGAGGCATTGGTCGTTAGTTTGGACATAGCAAAGGTCTTCGATCGGGTTAGCACAAAGCGCTTCTTTCGAAGGTCCCTTCCTATAGGCTTCCCCATAAATTGTGCAATTGGATCACCAGTTTCCTTGCTGATCGGAGCATCAAGGTCGTAGTAGACGGTGCATGCTCTGATTACAAGCCTACTAACACTGGTGTACCACAAGGCTGCGTGATATCACCAACGCTGTTTCTTTTGTATATCAATGATATGTTGCAAGCTGGTAACATTCATTGCTATACAGACGACAGTACTGGTACTGGTAATGCCTTATACGCCGGCCGTGCCAATATATCTCGGGAACACGTCGCCGAGTACCTACCGTGACAAACTTGTATCTGTAGTCGAGTTTTTGTTGAACAACGTCTCGGATTGGGTGCGATTAAATCTACTCCATTTCAATTCCAAGAAGACACAAGTTTGCGCGTTTACCGCTTAAAAGAACCCTTTGTCGTATCTCCTCAGTTTCAAGGCACTCCCCTTGCTGCCTCAGCTAGCATCGGAATCCTCGGCATTGACATATCGAATAGTGTACAGTTTCTTGGTCACCTGGAAGGGAAGGCCAAATTGGCTTGGCGTGCTCAGTAGAGCGAGACAGTATATCATGTCGGCACATCGCTTGCAACTTTACAAAGCGCAAGTTCGGCCTCACATGGAATACTGTTCTCATCTTTGGGCCGGGGTACCCCAGTGCTATCTCCTTCCACTTGACAGCATCCAGCGTAGAGCGGTTCGAATCGTCGACGACCGAGTTCTTTCTGATCGGCTCGATACACTGGCGCTGCGTAGGGATGTTGCATCTCTTTGCATTTTCTATCGAATCTACTACGGGGGGTGCTCCGAGGAATTATTCGGATTAATTCCAGCCCCCAAATTTCACGAACGCACATCGCGTCAAAATTGCGCTTGGCAGTCCACGACTGTGCGTTTTACTAGGAACTTTCTTCCTCGTACAATTTCTCTGTGGAATTGTTTACCACCGGCGATTTTTCCGGACTGTTCCGGACTGATAAGACTTAGGGACCTTCAAAAAAGAGCTTACACCTTTCTAATAGGCCGGCAACGCATTCTGCAATTTCCCTGGTGTTGCAGTTATTAATGAGCGGCGGTAGTCACTTACCATCAGGTGAGCCGCACGCGCGTTTGCCCGTCTTCTTCTATATAAAAAAAGTGGTTGCTGTGGCATATAGACATCTACCTCTATCCTCGTTTGCGAATAAAATGCAGATACATTGTCAGCCGTGAGGTCAAAGATGGAATGCCTCTTTTTCAGTAAAAATGGTATCCGGTTCTCTACACTGATCAAACGAAACAGAGCAGCATTAAGCTGCTATTTTACGCTAGTATCTCTGAAAGCGTGGTCCTACCCGGGTCGAGCCGACCCAATCGTGCTACAAATATACTATTAATATAGCTGTAGCATGGCTCAACGACGTATAATTTTTATATTTATATTTTGGGTAGAGATCATCGTCGTAAACTTCGATTGTAGAAACCACACACTTAGGAAATTTTGTATCAGTATTTTCTTTGAGCTCTCGTATCCACTTTATACTCTGTAACGAGAATGGCAGCAGGAACACTCAAGAAATGGAAAAACATTATGATACTTTCTTCCCATTAAGAAGATCTTTTATATATTCAGATTTTTATAAAAATGCCTTATCCGAACAGGTTTTTCGTATTCGCAGAAAGTCGGTCCTGTAAGTTAGTCATTATGCTATCTATCAGTGGAACATAAACAGCCCTCCGAAAATATTCCTCGTTATTTCCTTGATAATTATCGCGAAGAGTCTGTCAGTAGTTTTTAGAAGATTTTGCAATTTGACGTGTACGATTTGGGGGGGGGGGCATGTGACACCCCCCCCCCCCCTTCGGACCGAGTCTGCCCTCAAACCAAACACGCATTTGTGAACAGATTTTACATATTTTTAGGACCTTTTCGTTATAACAAGCTCAACAAGTCACTAAAAATATATAGTTTAAATTATAAGAAAAGTAATATAAGTGTAAGGGGATTTCTAAATAAATTAAATTACGAAGACACAGAGTTGTTAGAAATTCTAAAATAGTTTGTATTCGTTGTAGGTAACAAATAATTGTTATTTAGTTAATGAAATAAAAGACATTACACTTTATCTTCTATCTCTTAAACCCTTTTTTGTAAAATTGCAAACCAAAAAGGTTTTGTTTGAAACTTTTTTATATCTCATATAGGTATCAAAAACAATTTAAACATATAACAGTTTATCAATTCAAAAAAGGATAAAATATGGCCCGGATCACTCCTGGCATTGCTCTCTACTGTTCGTAGGTTTCATCACAATCGGTTGTCATTCCGAAGATTAGAACGTTTTTGAACCTTAATATTCTGTCAGTGTAGAAGGTTATACCTACCTAACACAATAATAATGTATATGGTTTCTGAACCATTTCAAGAAAAACTTGTTTTGTTTGTTCTCGGCGGCATAAAAACTTACCATATTTTGAGAATGTCCCGTACACGGCATAAAAGCTTGCAGACGAAGACCAGCATACTTTCCCGAAATATTTAAAAGATCATTGTAGATTTTTCCTCTACAATCTTTAAATTTTGTCATTCGAAATTTGTTAAAAATGTTAAAATAATTTCTCCTAAATATTCAGATTTATGCTTTTATACTAAAAATTCAAAAACCCTTTCAAATTTACGTGTCTAATTATAAAATTGGTGCCCTATCCTGCCCTACCCAGACGTGTGCGAAAGTGTCATCATAGCCCTGTTAATATGCGACGAAGGTACCTACCTACCTACACCATGCCTGCGCGAGGCGGGTATGCGAATACGTTTTATAATAAAAAGGGTAATATAAAAAATAATTTCTAAAAAAATAAATAATTTTGTAGTCACCAGAATTAGACCTTTTTTTTACGATATAACCATTAAAGCAGATCAGTATAATCACGAAATATTAAAAAATATTTTAGTCTGGGAATTCTGGTATAAATTTCGCAAAATAAAAGTATTCATTTGTTGATGAAGTGTCAGCAACTAGGGAGACCCATGGACCGCGGAGCCCTGGGCACTTGCCGGTTGCGCCAACGCATGCACTTGGATTTTAAGTTGATGTACTTTATTAGTGAGGTTGGCTGACACTGTACTTCCCGTATCTTTCCTTTCAGGCACATACCTAGTGTGGTATAGAACGCCCGTGGTAGCAGTTGTCGGCACGCCCTGCTAGGGGGAGGACACGCCAGTCGTCGGCGTGCCCTACTAGAAGGAAGACGGCGAAAATATCATAGAACACACGCGGTCGTTCTAGCGTAATGTAGTTATATAATTATTTAATCGTTGGAAGTTTGTTTGGTGCACGTAACTTTATTGAAAAGATATCAGAACTGTTCTATTGTCAATAAATAGTGTCAACATAGCTCATCGTGTCCGCAGTAAGCAGTTGTCACGATACGAGCCACGCCGCTCTTCTCAAGCTACTGTTTTACGGTTTTACCCCTCCTTTTCATGAGCTGTTTTATTTCTTGTTCTTAATCCGTAGTCGCTTTTGTCATTTCGTGTCAGCCAACGAATTAAATTAAATGTACGCAAATAACACAGTCCACTAATTGTTGGCTGACCTATAGTTCACCTCTTTCCAAGAGTGCCCATGCGCAAAGATAGGACTGATTATGTGTGACGTTATTTTACAAAACCAATACAAGATATGACTTCTTTAATCTAAGTTAATTTCGTTTTCAATATTAACAATAATCGAATCGAATATGTATATTATAGAAATAGAATTGTTATTCGAGCGATTAGGTTAGTGAGTAACAAGTATTATACAAAACGGATTATTCAGAAACATTAAATTAATTAAGTCAAAGACAATATGACTTTTTTCACAACGTTTTTTGTTTCGCTAACGGTTCAATAATCAGTTCAGTTCAGTAATAATTCAGTTCAGTAATCAATTGCGGTGTCTATGGAAAGTAAAAAAGGCAGCAACCTTGTTAAAGAAAGGTGACAATAATAGTGACATGTCTCATGAATAATGAGTTCAACTACATACAAAAATTAAGTTCTTATTTTAGGGTTCCCTCTATTCTTGTAATTACTCAGAGGTGCGGAAGCTCCTAACAAGCGTATCGCAACGTACGCGCTTAGCGCGAGATCTACATACAGTAACGGAGACAGAGAAAATAACGCGATTCGACAGTGCTGAATATCGCGTATTTTTTCTGACGTTGACATGTAGTAGCAACGTAGGAATATTCTTTACCCCATGTTCTCCCGTGGGTGTCGTAATAGGCGACAAAGGGAAACAAAGGGAGATGGACGGCAGCATCTTCCTAATAACAACTTCAAAATAAAGAAACTGAAACAGGCGATGAGTATTGGGTAGCAGCTTCTTCCCGACAACTTAATAGTAATCCAAGCGTGGCAACTTACAATGAAATATAGGGGGAGGCATCAGCAGTGTTCTTTGATAGGCTGTAATGAATGGATGAATAAAAAACTGATAAATAGATTTTAGACACGATTGTAATAGTAAGCAAATTTTTCTCTGACAGTAATTAGATGGAACAACTCAACGAATTAAAAAATATTTGTTAAAATAAAGGACACTTTAGTTTACAATAGCTTTATTTGTAATGTAACAAACTGAAAAATTTAGTTAAAAAACTGCACGTATCACTTCAATATAGTTACATTAGGTATTAATATATAACTGCTTTGTTTTAATAGAAATTACATAATACATAATATATAGAAGATGTAAAGTTAATTATATTATACCTCTGTTCAATCCGAAAAGGGCACACCACAATGATATTACCATAAAATTTTAATGATAATAAATAATAACATAATAATGTTGTTTAAAATACGTTTTTACTACAATTTGGTAAAATTCAGCAGGTTTTTAATATCTGGTAACACCGTCGTCGGCGACGGTATCCGAAGTGAATGGAGAATTTGCGTTTTTTTTTACATATTATTTATATGTTATAAGTATGTAAGGTACCTACATAATACAAAGCATTATAAATTACCAGAAATATTTTTTACACAAGAAGCTTTCAATTATGTATAGATAATTTAATTATTTTTATTTAGGTAATACATTATACCAAAAAATTAGAGATAAAACCAAGGATTGGTTGGTTGTAGAATTATGACAGTGAAAAAAGAAATGTTTACGCTTGTCAATTCATATGGGCATGACTATTCCGAAGTACAGTCATTACACACACAAAATCAATAATTTTTGCAATGAAGAAAGCGAATGTGGCGACCCCAGAGCAAGTTTTTATTTTTTCTAGTTAGAGTTTATGATACTTTGCATTTTAGATTTAAACAACTGACTGACGTTACAAAACATTCTATTTTTAGAAGGTAGGTAAGTGAAAAAAAGTATTATTTAAACAAATAATAAATTGTGGCGAAGGAGGATTTTGCTCAACCAGTTGCCGATGTGCCTTCAGCCGTCATCTGTAAATATAAAACACTTTCAGATCTGTATAATTATAAGAATAACCCTTATGAGAAATGATTGAGAGAAACAGCAGATTGACAAAATCATTTGTCGTTGTTAGTTGAGATGAAATAAATGCATTGAAATGAAACAAAGATTATTAATTGAAATAAATTATTAGCAGGTTTTATTTCTGTAATAACGTGTGGCGCGCTGAGTTCTATTTAGAAAATTGAAATAATAAGAAATTCCATATATCAATACCAAAATGATGTTCAACGGATTGTCGTCATAAATTTTTAGCGAAAATAAAATGTCTAAACGATTTTATAAAATACTAACTGCGTCCCGCGGTTTCAGTCGGTTTGGTCCACCATCGGGATAAAAGGTAGCTAATATCCTTCTCCGCGGTCCTATCTATCTCCATACCAAAATTTATTAAAATCGGTTCAGCGCAGCAGTTTAGGCGTGAAAACGTAACAAACAAACTCACTTTCGTAAAAATTCAAACCGTTTTTATGTAAGAAGCAATATAAAATGATTTTACACAATATAAGATGGATTAAGAGTGTTTTCTTGATATACGGCTACTCATACTATCGTAAAAGTACAATATGGTTATGATAGAGGCATTTTAAGAACTAAAAATTACTTGACCTTGACGTGTCCAGAGTAATGCACTACCTAATAACGCTTTTCGTTATGAGGCGTGCAATAAGAGTTCAATCTTGCAAGTAACATTTCACAACGAAGTTAAAGAAGATAATATTTTTGAAATTTCTTGTAAGGTATAATAATTTTACTTGTTAACTTAAAATAGATAAATACGCTAAGAATTTTCTCAAAAAACATTATCCAATTCTATTTATTAAATCTTTAATAAAATTACAAAATGCGTAGGTACATTCAGGTTGCGATATTTGAACAATTCTTACACATCCGTAACATTTGTAAGTATACCTTCAATTTTAATTTTTCTAAAATAGACGACAACATCCTTTTTCATCTCTTCTCTACCTCTTCTAGGCTAGATTTTTTTGTACTGCCACATATCAACCCACTTAACCGTGCATGAGTCTGAAAATTAAAAAAATCAATTACAATTTGCATATTATTAACGTATTATACATTAACATTATTGAGCCGTGGTATCTTAGGGGCCCGGTATAAATTAAATAGCCTACATGTAATACGCCAGCATAACTAAATTTTTAATGACAATTTTAAGTCGTGAAAAAACCGCCATTATTGAAAAAAAAAAACATAAGCACAAATGAAGAAACGTCAACATGCACTGGAGCAGCGTGAACTAACCGTTTCTTAATCCTCTGGAATATATATAATCCTTAAAAATGAGTGGTGTCGGACATTTCGGCTGTAATCTTATCATAACAATCAAAACACAATAAAGCTAGATATTGTAATCATCTCTAAAATATTCGCATCCTCGTGCTTGTAGGATTAAGGTATAATATATCAAAAACAGTTCAGCATTATTCTAAAAAAATCCGTAACTCCCGGCGAAGTGCAATGTTGTTTAGGAAGGAAGTCAACAAAGCTGGCTGTGATATGTCATGGAATATCATATCACAATCACTTTGCCGACCCCCGTTGCACCTTTTGAAATCTTCTGTAACATTTTGATTAAGAATATCTCCTGTTGTGTTTTCGGTCTCGTGTCGCTCATCAAAGCTGGCTGTGATATGACTAAGAAACGCACACGACAACCACTTTGTGAGCGACACGATGACCTCGCCAAGTCGTGTCGTTTCTTGAGGTTTTCTCTCTTCACTTTGTTCTATCTTGCGATTTCTCTCCGCCCGCCGTCCCTCCGTATTTTGCTTTGCGCTTCACCAACGCCTCCTCACTACGTTCCGCCGTTCCAGTTGATACATTCCACAGCCCAACTCGTCAAAAATGGCTGTGATATGATTAGACAACATGGCACAACCATTTTTACGAATGGGCCACGGATCCCCGTAGCACGTGCACCGCATACCACTGTAACGTTGTAGAATCTCCGTAAACCGACCACATCAAAGTGGCTGTGATATGAAGACGGGTTGACATTTCACCGCCGCTTTGACAGGCTAGGCCCGAGAAACGTTAAGTGGCATAGTTCCAGCGCGGTAATGGCGCGGGTGAGGAGCGAAAAAAGCGGGCTGCCATAAATGGGGCCGTGCTCATCAAAGCTGGCTGTGATAGCTGTATCATGATCTATAACAAACCGACTTTGATGGCAGGGCCACATTTCCACATTCACGCATTCTTTTAATTTGAATCTCCTGAAAATTACCACGACGATAAAATTCGTACATGATGCACATAAAAATTATGGATAGAAATGCTTCCGTAAAGAAAACCCGCGAAAAATGGAGTAATTTTCTAAACCGTATATAATACGCAACATGGCAACAAATTTTTAAGTACTTACGTTGAAATCCAAAAACTAATGTTGATAATAAAATTACATTTCTCCTTAATATTTCTAAGACATTTAAGAATATTTAATTAATTTATAAGACGTAACAATAAGAATATAATCATACCTATTTGCTATAAAACTTTTAGCACAATATTAGAAGCTGGTTAATAAAAAGCAAAGAGATTCACAACCGTCCACAGAGAGAGAACCACCAGAGCAAAATGATCATCATCATTATTACAACATATATCTCATAGGGGGATATTTGCTAAAGCTCGGCAGGCGGGAACCCGCAGTAATTTTTTATTACGCCACTACTTCACGGCAGTATTATATTTGAGCTGCTGCGATTTTTACAATTCGATTTTTCAAGCAAGTCAAAAATATTCTCTATTCTGGCCTTTAATTAAAAATAATTTATAACTGTGATGAGTTTTAATTGGACATTTATCAATCACATGATAAGCTTGTCAGCAGTATAGGACCACGCTTCAGTTCGGAAAGTCATCACTGGCACTTTACTTTCGTTTTAAGTTTGGAAGAATATTGGACAAGAAGATATCTGTGGGGCCATGTGCGGTAAACTTGCTAAAGGAATTTCATTCATGACTTGACAAGAAGGAAGTTCTTTGCTCACTCTAAGTCTTAGGCTTAGTAGCAAATAAACGTAGCCAATTTTCTATACCACGGGGAGTAGAACTAGAAGATAATTTTAGTAATGTTCGTTGTTTTATTTATTATTAAATTAGATAACGTAATAATAATTTTACGTAAATAAACGATTAAGAAGAGATTTACACATAACACAATAATTACAACAAATATTATTATACGTTTGTCTGAATAGTATATATAGGTATTAATTATACCACTGTAACACAAGGATAACATTACTCTGTCATAATTTTTTATTCGGCAGAGTTTAATTAGACCCTCCCGAGAATTGATCCGTCTCGTGCACAGCCAGACTGGGAGTGTTTTGTGTAACATAAAGTAATGTGCACTGATACATATAGTATATACTGATGTAGTATTGAAAAAGCTTATAAAACCTAAGCAGGAATATGTTAACCGCAAGATTTTTTGTACAAACAGAAACTTAGAGTATATTATCTCCCGATTTTAGCTAAAATTATGTTTATTACGACTTTCGAACCACCTCAAAGCACAGATGATATAATTATAAATAATAATAAATAGTATTAATGTTACACTGGTAACCTTAGCTGCATTTTATAAATTATTCAAGATTTGATTCATAAAATTGTTGAAACAATGGTTAGTCATTTTTGATATTATATTATAACAATATAATTATCTCCACAAGGTACATACGTAAGATAATTTATTATCCGATTTCATAATTTCGTTCTATGACGGCATGCAAGCTTTAATGATATTAAACTTATTTTGTATCACAATTTCATCCACGAAACCGTTTTAAATGTTGCATTCAAATAAGACTTATTTCGTGTGCTCAAAGTATCTTATTGTTTTTCTCTGCTTAGCCTAATAGTTAACTAGGAGAGAACACCTTTCAGTCTTCAGTTTTGATATTAATAGTATGGAAAGCTATATAACAACTTATTAGAGACAATCACGAATTAAAAGTCAAACTCCGCAATGTTAACATTTGCGCCTAGGCCATACTATTCACACAAGTTTTGACATTTTAGTTTAAACTCGAAATCGTTTCTGAATACCGGTATTAATTCAGTTATTCAAACAAATTTCAACATAATGTAGACATTTTATTCATTGACAACGATACTGAATATGCCAAAAATGACTTAGACCGTATTAAACAAAAGGAAATAACACAACAGTGTACAACATAATACTGGTAATAATAGGTAAATAGAATAACCGGGAAGTACACTGTTATGGTTGTAATCTGCAATTAAGTTTAAGCTAAGGCTGTTGGATCTGCATTGTATCTACTTAACAGAAAAACATATAATTAAACTTCAAATAAATTACGACTTAAACTTAGGTCTGATGTTAAACCAAATTCGCAGCATTTCAAAGTATTCAGTTGCTAAGAATATGTTCATATTCCAGATCCATGTAAAACTAAATTAGAGAAAAAAGTAATACTACAGTATACAGTAGATAAAGTACAGTATAATAAATACAGAAAGTTTGAAACAAATGCAAAAAAAATATCCAATGACCGTCATCTTTGAATAAAATTACCTTACTTTCAACTTAATTCACGATCTGTAAAAAAGACTCCTGTTGTAATTAAAATCGGAGAATATAGTTAGTTCACCACGTGAAATACCACTGATAACTTCTGCACCAATTTCCCATCACTTACAGACAAAAGAATAAACCAGTGATGATAGTCTTCAAAGTAATAATGAGTGTGATCAGACTTATGATTATGAAACATCAAAGGAATTAAGTGATTGGTCAGAAGTGCCAAACAAGACCGACAGAAACTATGATGCTAGCATGACTGAATATTATGAAACATCAACTTATGAAGCAGTTAGAGGTCCTGAGTGTATTATTAAACATTATTATATTATCTTATAGCTATCGAAGAAGAGTTAAAAGCTTATGACGAATACAACACATGGACTATTGTTGATAGGACTGATAAGAAACCACAAAACTTCTAAACTTCTAAACATATGTTAAAAATTAAGAAAAACAAATATGGTGATATTGAAAAACTCATCGAGATTCCTAAAGGATTGACCGTTGAAAGTAGTAAAGTACGAGTAAGTACGCATATCATAACATTGTATGGCTTAAAAGAGACTTCACGTTGTTGGAACATGAATTTTACAAATACTTATAAAGTCGTATGATTTTTTACAGTTTCAATCAGGTCATTGCTTTTATTAGAACCTGTTTCAAATATTAAAATGTTTGTTAATCTAATAATAATAAAATAATATTTGCTTTGAACTCCTAATTTATAATGAACTTTTTACCTAGCAGACGGTTCAAATATAAGAGCAAAATGAACGAGAGTACAGAAGGTTCATACATTCAGAGAAAATAACAGTCCGTTCTAATAAACGCCCGGCAAGTGGAGTCGCCGTCAAGAAAACGCCAAAAAGCGGGACTGTTCATGTCTCGTGTGAGATGTAATATCAGGCTATAAATTGGGAAGTCCCGCCAACACATTACAAAGAATGACTATGGACGCGAATCTTCAATGGTGCTCCATATATCTAAACTAGCATAGTTATTTCTGACTTGTGATAAAAGAGCTAGATTAGCGTACTATAAAGTTTTTTCCACAGCATAATGTCGTATGGAATCTCCTATGGAGTAGTGCGGCTGACATTGACAAAAAGAGGATATCTGCGAGGTTCCTTTCAACGTTTCTCGTCCGCTCAGAGGAACCTCGTTAAAAAATTTCTAATAGTTTTAGAATATTGAAAAAAAAAATACTTTTGTTAAACGAAATTTTATTTGTTCACGTGGAAGAAAGAATTATTTTTATTTCGTTTCATTTTATTGAAACTAGCTTTGTTTTGAAGAAATTGAAGGGCTATTTATTACCAAAATCCGAACGGGTCTTTTATTAAAGTTGTATTTACTTTGATCTCCCAGTATAAAGAAAATTTAACGCATGCACACAAAACAAAATTATTTTTATTAAATAGTTAATTGTGAGTTATAGGGCCGTGCA